TTTAAAAAAATTGTAGTTGTTGATGGACCATTATTTATTTATTTATATGCAGTGCTGAGACTCAAACTCAGTGCCTCACACATGCTAGGCAAACCCTCTACCACTGAGCCACAATCCCAGCCCTTAAATACATTTTAATGGTGGATTTCACCACTTCTTCAATTTTCTTTCTCAATCACAGTAGAAGTTTATGCCAGTGCCCTTCTATGAGCTTCACATAATATGTCGTGCAAATGACGCCTCTTCTCTTTGCTTTTTATTTCATTTCATGGCTACTCAGTTGTTTACATAAATGGTTTAACACAAAGAAGATGAGATGGATGGTTAGAGAGAGGAGGCAGACAGCTCTATTCATGAAGAAAGTTGCATGCAGATATGGAGGAATGACATGAAATGCAAGAATATCAGTGAGATAGGCAGTCAGGTCAAGATAGGCTTCCTTCCGCTCCCCTCCTATCTATGGTAAGCTGTGTCTGTTCAGCCTTGGACTTGCCTTTCCTGGCCCAGTGCAGATCTGCCCATTCACTCCAGCTCAACATGGAAACAAACACTGCCCCTCCCAAACTGCCCACGAAGCATGTACATTTACGTATTATGAACTCTTGGGTGGGGAGGAAGGGGCAGATGCAGCAGAGAGAATCATAAATCCCTTTTATTCCTCCATTTGAGTCAGTTTGGAGAGATCTCTTGTGGCTTCAGTGACATATAGAGAACAAGATAGCAAACTAATGGTGACATCAGTCTTTGACTTTCAGCCCAGGGCATTTTATATGCATGTCACTTCAAGAATTTCTTGAGGAGACTTAGGAGAGTGGCAGCATCACATAAGTTAACTCAGAGAAAAAAAGCCACGCTCAGCCTGAGCATCTGTCTGAGTCGTCTGTCACCATCGCAGATAGAAAGCTCCCAGGTCAGTGTCCATCTGGGAGGCATCGTGCGTGGACTGTGTCAAAGTAAGCTTTGGAGGATGATAACCTTGAGAAACCAAGTAGATAAACACACTGAGGCTACTTGTCTTATTCTCCGGTTAATTCAGATGTGAGGCACAGTCGTCTCCACCGTCTGTACTGACAGGTGGCACAGTTCATACAAGAGACTTGCCCTGAGCTACTCACGTTGCAAAGAACCAGGATCCCGTGCAAAATTAACACTTGTCTTGATTTGTTCCTTCTTCTTTATCCTCAGTTAAACCCTTATATTCTCTCTTTAGACTAGAGTGGGAGTTCCCTAACTGGTCTCCTTTTCCTGGGTCTACATCTTTAATCCATCCTCTCTGTTGTTTCCAGAAATACCTTGATGCCATAAATGGATCACTTTATTCCTTTATTTGAGAATTTTCAATGGTTCGCTGTTGCCTGCTGAACCAAGGTTAACTTCTTTTATAAGAGCATTCCTGAATTTCCTCCATCTTTGACCTGTTTCTTTTGATTTTCGGTTTTAATGGCTCAAACTTCATGCAACTTTTTGCAGTCTACTCCTTTGAATCTGTGTTCCTCTGGCTCCCTCTGTCCACCGTCTCCTGCCCACTTTCAGACTCTCATTTTATCTGCCTTGGCAAACACCCATGTTCATATTCAAGTTCATGGTGTTTTCCTCTGTGAAAATTTTCATGACACCCCTTAACTAGATCCCGTATGGGTATTCCTTTTTTATTCCCCGAACCCACTTCTCTTCTGGTACCTGTGACAATTTACTGTGACTGACTTCTTATATGCCTAGCACTATTTAATTCAGTGTCATTTCCCTATTAGACTCCAGATTCCTCCAGTCTCTTCAAAGTGTTGTCTATCCTAATGTTGTCAAAGGTTTGCCTAGTCTGAGGCACGTGTGAGGGTTCAATACATGCTTTTCAAATTAATGAATAAACCTGGGTAATAAATGCATCTCATGAATTTTAAACATTGACATTGGAGTCTGGATGAGAAAGATTAGAACAAGCACAGATGAGGAATCTATTCTGTTTATATTTTTGATTGGGTCTCAGGGATGCCAGGGAATTTTAATTTTTATTCTTTTTTTTTCCTGGTGCAGGCTATAAATTAGCTCATTGGCTTTGAGGTATCTGCTTTGCCTCTCTGTACCTCAGAACCTCAGTTGTGACACTTGGGAGCCATTCATTGTGAGGGAGTGTTGGACAGTGTGAAGAGCTTTGAAAGGGCACAGCTGGGTTGGAATTCTGACTCTTGCTCCTTTGTTACCTGGAACAAATCCTTCACTTCCCTCCATAAGTTGGGAAGCACAATCCTTACTTTACTAGGTGACATAAGGAGGAAATATGACAATGTTTATGAAATACCTGACCTGTAGTAGACTTTCAATTAAATTGGTTCCTTTCCCTTTCTGAAAAACATCTTCCTTGCCGAACACAAAGCATTATGAAGATGTTTGCAAAATGTAAGATACTGCTCTATAAAAGAACAGTTGGTTTTCTTTGAACCATCTTGCTTATTTTTGTTTGAATGAATCTGCGTAAATTTACCAAGTGAAACAAAGGCTTTAGGACTGGGTCTGTGGGTTTGAGAATAGAGCTATCTCTGGATGAAAGGGAAAGGTGACTTGGTGAGCCCTGGGCATAGTATGCCTATAGAGTAGCCTTTGAAACCTCCATGGGTTTTAAGGGAACTTGGATTTTTTTTTAAGAAACATGTATTTTGTAGACAGAGGCTTCATGATCCCTGCAGACAAATTCTAAACTGGAACAAAATCTTTTCTTTTTATGTAACTCATTTTGTTTTTTTTCACAGATGGGATATAATTCCTCATTTTTCTGAGTGTATGTGTTGTAGAATCACATTGGTCATGCCGTCATATACATACATAAAGTAATACTGTCTCAATTTTCCTATCAAAATCTGCCTTCTCTTTTACTGTGCTGACCCCATCTCTGTGGCTTCTTCTTTAGAAGACATTTTTCACTTCCCAATATTTGACATCTACTTCTCTATAGCCTGTGTTAAAGTTTTCCACTATTTCTGCAGAGTCTTAAGATATCTGGCACATTTTAGTGCTCATGATATTCATGTATAATATCTATAATATTAGATACTATAATATCTAATAATATCTCAGACCCCGAGTGTCCAGTCTCCTTACCCACATTCTTCAGTGTCCAACCAGTGCACATGATGGAGGGGAACTCTTGTGTTTGAGGGTGAAGTACTTCTGAAGAGTAGTTCTACCAGACTTCAGTGGCACCTCTTCACCTTGGGAAGGCAGACTCAGGGAGCCACATCATCACGACTCTTCTGCCTGCTCCCACCTGTCCCTGCCACGTGCTCTATTCTCTCAGGTCTAAGCCTAATGTAAGAATTAGCAAAGGGGATTTGGAAGTGAGTGTGGAAATGGAGTGGACATTCTTCTGAGAGTCAGTTCCAGAGGGAGGTAGTTAACAGTTTCCAAACGGTTACTGCAAGCAAGTCCACACACACACACACACACACACACACACACACACAGATGTTCACATTTCTCTACTTTCCAAATTTTTACAAGGCCCCAGAAGACATAAATCTACCTTGTGATTCTCTGGATTTTAAGGAAACATTGGTCTAAGAAACATGTAATGTCACATTATTATTAATTCTCAATGGGGACAGTATGTCCAAAGGGACAACCGGTTCTTGGTGAAAGCAAAAATATCTTGGCTTTTTCAATGACGTGTGGCCTTTAAAAGGGCCTCAGTACATAAAAAGATGCATGCTATATCTTTGGTATTAAATTTTGGGACAATTCAGAAAGCATATTTAATAAAGCTCCTTGAAGGGGTTATAGACTAAGAAAGACTGAGAAGGACTCTCATGCGATTGAGTCTTGGCTCAATGTGTCTGTCTTCTAGTATTCAGGGAGGATCAGAGATGTGTGTCACCTACCAGGACCTTCTTGGCCAAATATAAGTATATTATAACAGTCAAAATAACTGTTCAATGTGTTGCAATTTTCTGAGTTTTCTTACTTCTCTTGGCTTACATTTGAATGACTATTGGAGATTGAGGGGTGGGATCTGAGGCAAGCACAGAGGAGAAGGGAGATCCGTCATCTCTCTACATACCCACTCCACTGCAATCCTTCCCACTGGGAGAGAGGTGGCTTCCAACACAGGCCCAGTGGTCATTCATCAATGACCCTGTATACAAAGTGCTTCTTTTCTCTCCTGGTACCAAAAATAGGCCTCAAGGGCAGAAGGTATTTTTTGGTAGTTTTTTTTTTTTAAATTTACAAGTACTTGTCTTGGATTGTCTATGCATACATTGACAAAACTTGTAGTTTTACTCCAGTTATAAAAGCTCTGGGGATAAAATGTGAAGTGGAGAGAGAGGGGAAAAGGAGGTGCAGGTTAACATAAAAGAAATTGTCATTGGGGATTTTATGCAGATATGCAGATATTTTATGCAGATATTTTATACAAGTAATTTTGAGATTAATTTCAGGAGGCAGATCAATAGAACGGACCTGAGAATAGGAAACCATTAGTTTATGTATACATTTGTTCATGTTTGTATCTGACCTGGCACAGCTTAAAACATTCCTTCTCTTTCCACTAGTTGACAAAATATATTTAAGATACTGTACTCAAAATATAAAACCAACAAGTGATTTTAATAATTGACTGGAAATAACAGAGTTATCAGAAGATGCATGTGTGTAATGGACATGTCTATATGCTGTGTGCATGCATATTTGGGAGTAGAGGGAAAGGTAATTGGGAACATTCATTGAATGCTTGATTAGTGAGGGGAACGGTAACCTCCACAACTATCGTCCTCGTAATGATCATATTTCATTCTCAGGACATTTTATGAGTAGCTATTTATTTATAATAGGTGGTAAAAGGGAGGTCAGTGTCAGCAAAAGAGCAATAGGTAACACAAATATAATATCCAGGTTATTGATTTCAATCTTCTTCCCAGGCCACAAACCAGATGGCCCACATAGTTCAGTCTCATCTCTTCCTTGTTGAGTGGCTATAAAAGTATACAGTGGAATGATGATGAGAAAAGAGACAGCTCTCTCTTACTCTTGGGATCGCAGTTGGAGGAAACTAAACCACTCTTGGATTTCCAGCCTCCACGCACCTGCTCACCCCAGTTTACTGTTCACTGAAGGCACAAGCCTTCTCTGCAGTCTCCTCATGGCTGACTTCATCTCTTGGTTCCTCAGGGTGTAGATCATGGGGTTCAGCATGGGAGTGATGACCGTGTTGTTGATGGATATGGCTGTGTCCATGGGCAGGGTAGTGAAGGGCCGGCAGTAAATGTAAACACAAGGCACAAAGTGCAGGGTCACCACCAGGATGTGGGAGGTGCAGGTGGAGAGGGCCTTGTTCCGTCCCTCCCCAGAGTGGGATCTTAGCATCACCAGAATGATGGTGTAGGAACCCAGGAGCAGGAAGAACCACAGCAGGGTCACCAGTCCATTGTTAGAGATCATGAGAAGCTCCAAAACCAAGGTGTCAGTGCAGGCCAGCTTCACAACCTGGGGCACATCGCAGTAGAAGGCATCCAAGATGTTGGGTCCACAGAAGGGGAGAGGAAGCATCAGAATTATCTGGACAATTGAATGCAAACCACCACCCACCCAGGAAGCCACCACCAAGGCCACCCATACCTCTCTCCTCATGATGGTCACATAATGCAGGGGCTTGGCGATAGCAAGGTATCTGTCATAGGCCATCACAGAGAGGAAGAAAATATCTGCCCCACCAGCAAAGTGGAAGAAAAAGATCTGTGTCATGCAGCCATTGTATGAGATGGTTTTCCTCTGTGATAAAAGATCCACCAGGAACTTGGGGACCGTGATCGATGAAAAGACAATATCCAGGACTGATTTATTCCTCAGGAGAAAATACATGGGAGTGTGGAGGCGGGGCTCAGAGGTGATGGTGACCACGATGAGAGCATTTCCCAGCACAGTTGTTAGATATACAAGAAGGAAAACCACAAATAAAAGGAACTCAAGCTCCCGGAATTTAGTGAGTTCCAGGAAAACAAACTCCTTCACATTGGTGTGGTTGATCTGGTCCATGGTAGGGGTGGCCCTCTTCCAAGTCTACCTAGGGAGAGGATGAGTTCGGGTTTGGAATGTGGCATCATGAAGTGGCAACATCATTTATCACATATGTTATAAGTCTCCCTCAAGCATTCGGATAATCCTGACTACTCAGGAAATCTGGGCTGGAGTCTTCCCTCTGTGCTCGGGAAATTCTTTATCCTTATGGTCCTTCTTTCCTGTTAAAAATACTCTGGGTTTACAGGCAGAATCGTCAGACTCTTACCTGTTCACTGGCTACAGAGAGATGAATGGACTATGGTCATTTGCCTGTGGTTTATCTTCTGACCTGCAAGGGTCTTTTCATATGTGCTAAGCTTTATACTTTACCAAGCATGTTCACCTACAAAAGCAATCTTATCTTGACTGCTTCTCATGAAGGCTCTGTGAATGGTTATGATTACATAACCATTCAGAATGGTTATGATTACACCTACTTTGTGTATAGGGAAGCTGAGGCTTAGAGCAGTTAAAGACTTACTCACACACCTGCATAACTGCAGATGCATACCTTCTACGTGGTGGATGGCAACTCAAGGACTCAACTCAAGGACTCAAATCTAAATCATTTTTTGGCAAAGACTTCCTCCTTGTCCAAATTTTGGTTAACTTCCTCTGAACTTCTCAACGTGAGCTCAACCTTGACCTTCCACGTCTTTCCTTGCCAAGCCCAGTTTCCGCTAGAGTCCTGCTAAGTCAGTTTAGTGAGAATTCCCCACCCTTGGTATCTAGCCAAATTCTTCACCCTCCATCATTGATATGAAAACCCTGTATCCAAGTCCTTGGCCACTGTTAGCAAGAGTCCATTTAAGCCAGTTTAATAAACAACATCTTACTCTTAGTTTCTCCTCTTAGTGACTTCCTCTCCACTGACTCTCTCACCTTGCTTACTGGCTACAAATCTCCCCTTGTCCTTGTTATATTTGGAGTTGAGCTCCATCTCTCTTGTTGCAATAGTTTTGAATAAAGTCTACTTTCGTGTATTTAATAAGTGGTCCAGTGAATAGTTTTCCATTAAGCTCTAGTAGTTTTCCACCATACCCCTCTTCCAAAGTCTGGATCTTATGCTGGTTTAATCTAAACACAGATAAGGCTTAAACCACTTACTGAGTGGCCTCATTTATTTATTTCTCATCCCCTGACATAGAGGAAGAAAAGAACCAGACTCTCGTCAGAACTCCTGTTTGACACTTTGGGAAACCTGGATCTCATGGGGGCATGAGGGCTTTTGGTAGATTTGTTACCTACAATGATTGTTCAGGGCATGTTGAAATGTCATAGAAAAATTGATCATTAAAACCTCACAAGACTTTGGAGATGACAACCCACACTTTTAGTTTAGGAATGAATAGAGGAGGATACTGATTTGTCCAGAACCAAATTTGAGTCAGTAAAAGATAAAGAATTTTAGCAAGATTCACTGACTTGTATTCCAAGGATTTTCTCCTATTACTATACCATGTCAAAAATAGCCTTTTCAAATCAGAAACCAGCCATCAGAGGACAAAATCATTTTCAATAAGAATATCTTTATGTCTAAGAACTCATATTCCAGATAATTTTTAAAAATTCAAATAGTTGAGATGACCAAAATCCATTTCAACAGTAGAAAGCAGACAACTGTATTTGAAGCAATGGAATCATGTCTGAAAGAGGCAGAATCACAATGAAGAGATTCTACCAGATTGAAGGAATAAAAAAAAAAAGCACTTTCTCTGAAATAAAGCAGAGTACAGCAGTCCATAAACAACTTATTAATAACTGCATAGGTATTTATTTTTCTCAGTCCTGTCTATTTTATGGTCTAATTTGAAAGGCAGGGCATACAGAAAACCTCTTAAATAAAAACCTTGTGAGCTCTCAAGGTCCCTGATGTTCTTTCCGTGAACATGAGTTCATTCCTGTAAAAAATGAATTGCTGCTTTTGTCTTTCTTTTTCTTTCTTTCTTTTAATTTTAAAACTTTACAATTTTTGGTGTATATTTAAGATATACGATGCACTTCTAGTTTAATATGCCAGCACCCAGTAATACATTATGTAAAGCTGGTTCTTTGGAGTTTTCATTCTTTTCTTTCCTTCCCTCCCATCTTCCCTCCCTCCCTCCCTCCCTCCCTTTCTCCTCTCTTCTCTCCTTCCCTTTCCTCTTTCTCTTCTCCTTCCTCCCTTCCTTTCTTCCTCCCCCTGCCCTCAATTCTTTCTTTCTTTTTCATTCTTTTACTGCCACCTAGCAAGTAGCAGAGAGAATAAATTTGGAACATATTTATCAAGGGTATCTATAAGGGTGAGCGCCCATCTTATGATTGTGTTGAGGGCAGGATCTATTCAATTTTCTCCATAAGAAATTTCATTTATTTTTTCACTTTATTGTAGACCCATGTACTGGGGACTCTCCTGGGACACCAATAAGATTCATTTTCTTAGAAAATGAGGATATTCTGACTCACTACATATCTCTGCTTTGCCTTCCATGCACTCAAGAGCATGTGTGGCTTCATTTCCTACTCTCTCTCTCTTTTTTTTTTCCCCTGTGGGTGGCCTCTCTACAGTGTCTCATTTACATTATATTGTTTTATTGTGTGTTTGTCCTTGTTGCTATAAAGTCTCCCAATCCTTTGTGGGATGTGATGGTAATACGAGGCTTACTGAGGTGAGACAGGTTTTCATAGGGATATGGGATCCAGGCTGGTCTGACTGGCATTGGTGGGGAAGGCTAGAGTGGAATGAGCACCAGCAGGAGAATAGCAGTCCTGGGAGAAGGAGTCAGACTTTCTGAATATGCAGGTGGGAGGGGCCACAAAACTAGTATTAACCCCTTTAGTTTGCCTGGTTGAGCCCTAATTAGTGTTTTAAAATAATGTTGCACTAAACATTTTATAAATGCATTTTTGTGTGCATTTATGATTTTTTTTTTCTTTCTTTTTTTGTACCAGGGATTGAACCCAGGGCACTTAATCACTGAGCCACATCCCCAGCCCTTTTTATATTTTATTTTGAGACAGGATCTCACTAAGTTGTTTAGCACCTTGCTAAGTTGCTGAGGCTGGCTTTGAACTCACAGTCCTCCTGCTTCAGCCTCCTGAGCCACTGGGATTATAGGCATGTGCCACCATGCCTGGCTCACCTATGATTTCCTTAAGAAAAATTCCTAGAAATGGACTTACAAAGTCAAATGATATGTCAGTTTTCTAATTTTAACTGATGATTAAGATACTATAAGGGGCCTAATTCTAATAGAGTTTACTTGATTTCTTTTTATAGATATTATGAACTGAAATAAATTGCCACACTTTTAAATTTCTCACAGAAAAGGGAAACTAAGGGTTTTGTCACTTAATGATAGATTCTTCCGTAATGATGGATTGATAAAGGTTAAGAAAAGTGGTCCTACCTTATTAGGACATAAAACATTGTGAGTTACAGATGGGTTTTCAATTTAGAATAACTGTATAGATAACCAGTGAAATAAGAAAACTATGATTTATTTATTATGGCTTCCCCATTTTATTTCATGTGTTTATTCATTTATCATTGTATTATGTATTCAATAAATATTATCAACTAATGATAATTTTTCAGGAAAAAAATATAAATATAAACAATCAAAGCAAGGAAAATATTAGGAAAAAATTTCAGTAAATGTTTTCATAATTTTTAGAGTAAAAGAGCATTACACTAAAGATTATTATATTTAACTAAGTAAAAATATGAAACTTATGTTTCAAAAGCACTGTAAATAAGTTAACAACTAAATATACTTGAACCCTAGTGCTACAAAACAAAAATGCACTCAATATAAATGAAAAACTTGGCAAAATATCTGTTAAAAAACACAATATAAAACAAGCTTAATGTTTTTGATATAAAAGGGCTCTCATAAATCAATAAGAAACTGACAAATACTTGAAAACAAAAATGTATCATGAGTCACATAGAGTAATCATTGAACCTGCGGCCTTGAACATACTAGGCAAGTGCTCTATCACTGAGCTATAACCCCAGCCCTCTGTAAAATTATTCTAAGATGATTGACTTATTAAGGAAAGAGTTATGGGAGGGAAACTATACCAGTTTTTCTCTTCATATTTTATGGAGCCATGAGTCATTGGCTTGAGGCCTTCTGTAGAGACCTGGGACCAGCCAACTTTGGTCTTTGAGAACTGGTTAAAACTAATTATTATTGGCTTCTCTTTTGAATTAATATTATTCTACTTGCTCTTCTGGTCAATTACCTTAAAAAGTTCTAGACTATTAGACTCAATAACAAGTCAGGATCAAATGGTGACATTTCTATAATTGCACTATCAAAACTAGAGGCAGTTTGATCAAAAGAGTTCAACCTTTGAAGTCAGGTGCAGGTGTTTGAAACTTGACTCCATGACCTGGGTCTACTTAACCATTATACTCTTCAGAATCTTTTTGCATGAAATGAGGAACATTGGACTTTCTTTGCAGTGGGATTTGCTTGTGATAATCTAACTTTTTATTCTTCCTCCTATCACAATGTCTCTGTTTCTGTCCTTTCCTCCAGACGTAAGTTCCCTGAAGGCAGAACTTATTTTGTCACTATTGAATCTGTAGCTCCTACCTGGCATATATCAGTTATTCAATAATTCTTTTTGCACATGTGAATGAATGAATGGGTGTCGGTGTCTGATATGCAGTAGATCCCAACAAGGGTTTGCTTTGCTTTACCCCATTTTCAACCTCCTGCTACATCTACTATTCATTGGTGTTGTGTAAATCACCTAAATGCTTTAATGCATATGAGCACCATTGTAGACTTCAAAGCATTATATAAATATAGGCTATTAATATCACCATAATGTTATCATTGTTATATACTTGTGTTTCTTTCCTTGATACCAACACACTTTCAATTTCTGTTTCAGAAAGGTCCCATGTCAGTTATTGGCCTATACATCATAGGTACTTAGTAAATGTTTATGGGATAAGTTTAAGTATAAAAATTACCTTTTAATTTAAACATGTC